GGTCGATGTCAGGTCGATGTCAGGTCGATGTCAGGTCGATGTAGGGTCGATGTCAGGTCGATGTCAGGTCGATGTCAGGTCGATGTAGGGTCGATGTCAGGTCGATGTCAGGTCGATGTCAGGTCGATGTCATGTCGATGTCATGTCGATGTCGTGTCGATGTCGTTAAATATTGCTTTTAAAACACAAAACATGAAAACTGCGTAGCAAACTCAATATTTCAGTTGAAATGGTTTCTTGATGGGTTTTTAGAAGCAATATTTCTTTAGTTAAGCACCAAGAAACAAAAGAATCTATGTGGAACTTATCCTCACGACCATGTTTAAAGGAGGATTTCGAGAGATATTATAGTCGAGCCCAGGAATCAATGGCGTATGGTTTTCTAGATGAACTTGAAGAGTTTCTGACTAGCTTAACACACATGACATCGACGTGGCATCAACGTGACACCGACCTGACATCTACCCTACATCGACCCTACATCGACCCTACATCGACCCTACATCGACCCTACATCGACCTGACATCGACCTGACATCGACATGACATCGACATGACATCGACATGACATCGTGAATAACTGAATAAATGACTGACTGACTGCAATAACTGAATGACTGACTGAATGACTGACTTACTGAATAACTATGCCATTTCCGGTCAGCTTCGGGCCATCCGGACAGCTTCGAACCATCCGGACAGCTTAGGGCCTTTCCGGGCCTTTCTGGGCCTTTCCGGGCCTNGTAGAGAGACGGGACCTCCGATTTAACGTCGTTATCCGAGAGGACGTGAAGATCTTACCATTTGCAGATGGAGAAACAAAGGCAGCAACTTCTACTCAATTATTTTAAGACCCTGAGTATTGGTCCGGCCAGGGTTTGAACCCACGACCTCCCGCATTGTAGTCCGATGCTCAACCAACTGAGCCAATCGGTATGCGGTTTTCACTTATTGAAATATCACATAGAAATGGAGACTAAATGGAGCCAATGTTTACCACAGACCATCTTACAGTACAAATCAGTTGTTATTGCCTTTCAACTAGCAAATCCCATGGCTACTTTCGGTCGTGCAATCGCCGTTCGACCATTGACATTCGCCATTTTATCCGTAAACTATTTTTGAAATAGCTATATATACGACTTTTAAAAAATGGCGGTAGTTCGCGATCGTCAATATCGGGGGACTAGTGACGAATCATGGTAACGAGACTCAAAGACCTTACATCTAAAAAAACCGTAAGAAGATCCAATGTATTGTAATGTCAGTCAAAGTCTGAAAGCTGTATTGGTATGTTATTTATAGCAAAGTACTCTTGCAAGACACTAGAATACAAACACTAAAACTGTGCAACATAAATACCATTAAATAGAGTGGTTCTCATTAACCCGTGAAACAAAGTGTAATAGTCAAAGTGTAATAAAGTGTAATAGCCAAGAAATATAATAGAAAACAAAAGAGACAAAGTGTAATAAAGTGTAATACGCTAAAATGTATTTCACGGGTTAATGAGAACCACTCTACTGCTAAATTATGCTAATTCTATTGTTTTCTATTGTTTAATTAACACTATTTTGTAGTAAATAGTGGAAAGTGTTGCACACATTTAATGTTTGTACTCTATGGACAAATTATGGATAACTATATATTGGGAGGCTGACCTTTGAGACCACGTTTTAGTGTTTACTTCCCAGTGCTGTGGTCTGATCGTAACATATTGCTAAATGTTTGATAGTCGTGAAATACAGTTATATTTGAACGCATGCAATAGATATATCTAGATTATCTTTGCTAGTGCCAGAAATATGCTCGTTTTCATTTTACAGTGTCACAAAAGACTATTCAGTTAGTATTTTCTGATTAAGAACAAAGGAAAACAAAAGATTGAAAGTCTAATAGAGTGAACGCACTTAATCCGTGCAACTGTACAAAATCTAAGTAGTACTAATTTGTACTAAAAGTGGACCTGAAGCAAGACGGTATTGAATGCTTCATTTGTATCAACTCAATTTAATTTGCGTACCGCATGCACGATTTACTAAATACAACTAAAAAGCRCTATTTAGTTTGTACAGTTGCACGGATTAAGTGCGTTCACTCTACCAACTAGAACTCTCATTTTCACGGTCAAATGAAAACGAATCAAGTAAAATTGAAGTCATAAAAGACTCATTCAGTTAATCCACTTCATTAGGGCATTATATTGGATTTTTACAATATGTATATTATATCCTTAGTTTGTTTCCTGCACAAGTTAAATGCGGTATTAACTCTTTAAGTTTTCAATCGCATTTCCAATCGATATAAATGATGTTACTAAAATTTCTCGTTGAAAAGTTCTTGAAAATATACCACATTATGCATGGTTGTAAAATTTGTTAAAATCCTTAAAAATTGCAAAATTTCAAATTCCGTAAAAATAACTTTTTACATGCTCCTCCTCGAAATCTATTTACACTTTGAATTAAAATTGAAATTAGGTTTTTTGAATATTGTGATTTTGAATTTGACATAAGYTACCAATCGTGGTATTATATACAAAATAATAAACGAATAACTGGTACCATTAAGGGCTAAAATGTATCCTAATTTCCACATACAAAATTTAATCTTTTTACATCCTCTACGTATTGAGACAGTGGAATCCYGATATATACCGYGAMAAAAAAATCCTGAGATCAGAGCAAACAATTTGCACGTTTGCGTRCATTWTCTACTGGTCCACAGTACTTTGCGTGTTGATAATGTTATAAAGGCATTAGTGATATTACGAACGAAATCTGCAAAGCATTCTGGTCTAGCAAGAGACGCCATAATCAAATTGATTTGTTGTCGATGTCCTGAAATTTCTACTTTTTGCGCTTTAAAATTTAAAAAATTGCCTAAAAAAAGACCACCTACCTCATTGAAAAACACCTGAGATTGTTGAGTTTCTTTCTACAAGATTGTCATTTGCGCCTGCGCACAATTAAATGGAGTTCAAAATTGTCTTCCCGACTCTAGTCATAACTTAGTACATATAGTCATTACTATTGATAGCTTGAACTGCCTGTATCATATTATTCTCTCTTAACAAGAGATCTTTGACTTTCTTTGGAAAGTTTCCATCACGGCTTATYACCGCGAAYGTTGTGTTGGTTTCTCTAAAATAGGAACGAATTTGAACCAACGCGTTTACAGCGTTCGGTGGATCTAACTGGACGACTARTCTACTTGCTGGTAACGCTAGTACCTCCTCGTTGACTGATGTGGCCACGACRATCTGATAAACACCTTGATGAATTTTTGATAGTGTTTCGCTTTTCTCTGWTGGGTTTCCTGTSGTATCAATTACGTAAGATTCAATTAATGAACATCTGGATTATGACTGGTTTGATTGAGGAAAGCAAGTAAGCAATGTAACAAACGCAAAAATAGCAAAATATAGAGTCATTTTCATCTGTCAGTGAAACAATTACTATCGCCTTAACCCGACACGGGCACCATACAATAACATAGTTTAAGTTCACGCTAGGAGGGATAAACAATTACTACTAGTCAGTGTTTAATAGTAGCTATTAGGGTGTATTAGGCTACCAAATGGCAAAATCAAAAGCGTGTTTGCCTAATTAGTTTGTCGCATGTCTTGGAGTCATTTTCATCCGTCTGTGAAACATTTACTACTAGACAGTGTTTAATAGTAACTATTAGGGTGTAATAGGCTACTAAAAGGCAAAATCAAAACCGTTTTTGCCTAATTTAAGTGTCGCATGTCATAAGTTAAACTATTGGGAGCTAATAGGGGGTAATAGTATTTAATAGTACAATTCCTATTTCACAGACGGATGAAAATGGCTCTAATAGAAAGGAAACAACTTAAAGACCAAACATTAAAAAATACTCTCAAGGAAACGAACAAGGAACGTTAATAAACAACCAAGCAAGATATCAAATTTACAAGCGACTAGCAAGACGAAGAACAAATAAACAGAACAAAATGTACCTGCATATGACCGCGTAGTCTCATATCCAGCTAGAGCCGTTGTCCTAATGCCTTTGTGGAGAAGGTGACAAGAATCGAGGTACTTTGCAAGACCAACTGCAGTTTGGTTTCGTCTCACAATGATAAGAGCTAAAAGACTAGAACTGATTCTCTTGTCTTCGTTGATGATTTTTCCATTCAGTACGTCGACAAGTTCATAGACACTGGATCCCATTTCAACGATTGAAACTGAAAAATGAAGTAATAATAATAATGCTTTAATCACAGTATATCCACGAGGTGGTTCTTCAACTGTGATGCAACTCACACACTCTACCTCAACATAAAGTGTTTTAGCATACGACAACTCCTCACAGCTCGTTTTTGACTGAGGGAGGAAAACCAGGACCTGGAGAAAAACCCTCGGAGCAAGGAAGAGAACCAGCCTACAAACTCAAATCACATATAGTCCCGGACCGGGAATCGAACCAGGACCACAGCGGTGATCTGGGTGATAGACCGGCGTTTTAACCGCTCGGCCATCCTTGCTCCCCATGAAAAGTATAAAAAATTATGGCTGAAAATCGTTGTGTTTATTTATTGAAATATAAACTACAGTCCCAGTGATTGAAAYCCCGTTTTCCAAGCTCCAATGAAAAAACTGTCAAAGCTTATTGAGTTGTATTCTTCCAAGATAATCTTCTATGAATTTTGTAATAAAGATTAAATATAGAGGATATTACATGGGCGCGCGGAGATACGGATTTTATCTTCGAGTGTTGAAAAGATCTCTCACGAGCGAGCGTAGCGAAGATAAAATTCGTATCTCCAAGCGACCATGTAATATTCTGTTTATCATATAATTAAATAATATGAAAGCAAATTATGTTGTAAAATACCTTTTTTCTTTCTTCCAATATACAGAGAAAGCTCGAATGTGTTATTTTCACTAGTGAAAATAACATGTTATTTTCACTAGTGAAAATATCAATTTTACGTAATGGAGAAATATAGGTATTTCATAGATAATTATATGATAAATATCATTATATGATTACCTTCGCTGCTGCATTGTTCCAAGTACGACTTCAGATCGTCACAAGGCAAACCTTGTTCCATGGCCCATTCAAACCCATAAGAACTATCATAAACAAGATCCATCATCCGATCAAGTGCTAACTTCTCCCCGCACTCCTGAAGAGCACAGATAGCTTCACAAATTGTCTGGAAGTGCAACAGTGAGTTGAATGACTTGTTTCGTGGCTTCGARAGATTTACAAATTTGTCAAGAACTTCTAGAACAGGAACAATGTCTTCTTTGGAAAGYATTCCACCAGAAGAAGGCTGGAAGACGTCCTTATACTCCTTAAACTCACTCACTCGAGCAGCTAAATTGAAGCAYTTGGTAGCGTATTCCATCAAGGCACCTAGSAAAACCTTCTCGTTCGGTGTATATTCGACGCGGTGACACACAATGTCAGATTGRTTTGTCTTTTCGATAAGTTCTTGGATTGGAAGAGACACAGGTAAAAGTGTGGCACCGCCAAGATTGGAGAGGAGTCGTTGGATTTTCTTGACGGTTCGGTCGAGTGTCGGCTCCCCAGCAGGTGATGCTGTWAGCCCTAAGATCTTCGGACGATCATAAAGCGGGATCTCATCGGGAAGGTAGTGGTCTCGTATGATGACATTGTATGGATGATCTTTGTTGCAATGATGAGATTCATCCAAAACAATCAAGGCGCTGTCTTCGAACCGGAGKGTTCCATTGCTAACGTGGTTGCGATAACAATCCGCGGTCACTACAAGAATATCGTGGCTAAAAACTGGAATGCCTGGTTCWAGTTTYCTCATCTCTCCACAAATAGCTCCAATTCGGATTGGTCTMTWSAAACCATGATTCTGGTACTGCCCGCCAAACCTCGGCGCAGTGATCTGGTCGTCATTCTTTGCYGAATGAGRGATCTCCATATTTTTCAGTTCGAACTTAAGATAATCGCTTTGCTGGACGACAAGAAGGACACGATCCACAAGGAAAATCACTTGACGGGTGGGGTTCAAATGCAGAAGATGTGCAACRATTAAAGCAGACACCAGGTTATTCCCAGCTCCGGTGGGTAAAAAACACACGGAATTAGTACACATGGCTTTCATATATAACTCTACTTGATAATCCTGAGGCTGGGTCACAGTGAGGATGMGAGGATGGAACACTTTACTTCCMAAATTCATAGGCAGATGRTCACGAATAGGGGCCTTTTGAGATTTTGCTACTGTTTGCTCGTGTCTTGCACTTGAGAAGTGCTCTTTTGCCTGGGATTTTGAGTTAAGACCAACTTTGCAGTAATCACAGAACTTTGAATAAGGATCMGATGTAACTTTTGCTATTTTATTCTGATGTTTGGTACTTTGAAAATGTTCTTCCAGTTGTTGTTTCGTRGAAAAGGGAATCTTACAAAGACTACAGGACTTTGTRTCTCCATCTAGTGGACCAAAGCTTTTTGATCGTGGTCGCATTTCACCGTTATTCCTATTGCAATCACCTGAATTTAATTGGTTCCTACAGAATCCAGTTTCTTCTAGACTCTTACTTCTTGGGTTATGTTTAATGGTTCTTCCTTCTCCAATTACTCCAGGATCGCGTTTGTAATACGCAAYAGGCGATCTTTCCTTTTGCTTGTGTGYATTTTTCACATTCCCGGTAGGAAACTCGTCAAGGGCCACGTGATGGTCATGTCTTTTGGTGAGATCAAAACCATCGTTGAAACTTTGGCGCTTACTAATTTCTACAAAAGAATCAATGTCGAAAGGGTKCATTTTGAGTCCGTAAAAAGACTCATCGTTATTGCCTCCCTCACTGAAACTTAGCCCTCGTGGTCGACATCTTTTGGTTGTTGCATCTCTTGTAATCTCTGGCACTTTCCTTTGTCTATAGAATGCGGAASTTCCGTTTTGAAATGATCGCGACGACATGGTTATACTCACTTGCCTGCCTCCTCTTTCCTGGAGATGCGGATCGTTTTGTTGTACAAAGTTTCTATACGGTATGATATCAGAGAATGATCTACCTCTTCCATGAAAATGGGCCATTCCATTAAGATCTTCACCACATTTGTASTGTGGAGTCAATGTCCAAGTTTGTGGCCTTGAGTTAAGATGCTTCACKAGTCCTTTGGATTKCAAGCTGTCCATTGTATTCTCAACAACTTTTGGWGAGGTAACAGCTGGCAAACGCTTTCGGATATCAACGAGGGTGCATTGATCATTTGTGGACAAAATTTCAATAACATGGGCTTCCATTTCAGAAATCATGTCCGAATTATTATTRGGTTCATTYATTTGATAATGGTGCATGCCATTTTCAATTGCTTCCTTTTGACRGTGTTTTGAATGACAGTTTGAAAAGATCTGTAGCAACGAGGCTTCAGCCGTTTCGAATAAGGAGTGTCCATTCWTGTACCAATGCTTCTCGGCTGCCATGGTATCTGTAAAATACATACCAAACATGTTATCATGCTATTTCCCTGCAGAATCAAATGGATTTTAATATATTTAATAAAATACAATGTCATACATCTACTTATTATTCCCAAAAGCTTCCTAGATTCCACACAACTAGGCTTTGGATATCTATACCACTGCAGATTTGAAATGCAGATCCTACTTATGAAGCAAGCTCTTTGTGATCAATTCTTGTTCTGGTGCTAACCATACGAAAAGTCCACGATAGGTAAATGTCATGTAGATAAAATGACCTTCAAAAAACACTCTGCATGCTTCTGATAGCTAACAAGTCTAACTAAAGGGATACTTCACAGGGGAGTCGTTTATATAACACACCCAGTGGAAGAAATAGAYGCAAACAGATACGTGGCTTCCAGGAAAATGGAAGTTCTAAGAACTTTTTCTGTTTACAAAGGGCCTTGCATCTTATAGGTCCAAATAAAGTCATCTTTTCAAACTGTCTTAAGTTTGGACTACCATGGGAAGTGAATATYTAAGTAACTTTTCCTCCGCCCTATCGAAGATCTAGATTGACAACTATTAGAGCTTTTTGCCAACTATGCGCTAGTGTTTTAAAATATAAATAAATGACCTTCAAAGAACATACTGTATCCTTTTGTTAACAACCAAATTCTGAGGAGAATCCTTTGAATCASTTAACAGCTGGCCCCATGAAGACACCCGATAAAACAAACAGACGCAAACATATACGTGGCTTCTAGGAAAAATGAAAGTTCTAAGAACTCTTTCTGTTTACAAAGAGCCATTGCACCCTATAGATCCAAACTAAGTCRTCTTTTAAACAATTCTTTGGGTTGAATATTACACAGCCTATTAGAAATGAATCTCAAAAAAACATTTTCCCCCAGACTGACTTGATAAAGCTAGAAGTTTTGTCTTTGGGGGAAACCTTGCTTAAAGCGATTCTCCGAAAGCCAAATTTTCCGCATGGCTTGTCGTTTGTTTTAGGCACATGCCAGTAACATCACTATAGCCTCTTAATTAATCAGTAATGAATGTGCATTTCATGAAGATAATCGATAACCGTGTATAGAAAACGCATCTAAAGTTCAAGTACGACAAACAAACAAAGATGAGATTTGAATGTCTCGTCATGAAATGTACCTTCTTTTGGTGAAACACTTCCGTAATCCTTCGTGTTCTAAATAACTCGACAGAAACCACAATCCTTATTCTAAGTCTTCAATATTTTCCTTTGGAAAAGACTGAAAATGCAAGTTATATGTCGAAATCAAATGTACTAAAGTGAAAATGCACCTAAGCACAATAATATGCCAATGAATCGACTTTTTAAGGAAGTCTAATTTTAGGGGCTTCCCCTGGAATGAGTTCTCGGAATCGAAATACGTGGAATTAAACAGCGTCGCGTTAGTACGTGACAACACCCAAAAGAAACAAAAGACAAGCCAAATTTCTCTTAAATTTAGTCTCAACAACAGTTGTTTAAGTCAAAAAGACAAAAAAAAGTTCCCGGAAATCTATCTTAAGATTGTTACTGCTCTTGTCGCTCAACAAATCATGTGACTTAGCTTTGGTTATTATATAAGTGGACGTCACCTGTCACGTCATTCAGCTGAGATAGTTGGCTTATTTTGGAATTCTTCATGTTTTGAGTGAAAATGAACTCATGTGAACTTAACACCTGCATTTTTCCTTCAATCTGAGCATAGAACCCGGCATGTTTTCTATTTTTTCTCCTCAACCCTCTCAAGCACTAACCTATGAAGTGACAAGAAGTGAAATCTAAGTACAATTAATTTGATTAAACTTAGCTATTACAAAACCTTCATGTACAAGTTATATCCTTAAACTGCTTAAAAAAACCCGAGATAATCATATACTGTAAGCGCCGCTCGCCTTGATTCAKAACATGACCGAAGTAATAATAATAGAATTCTCAGTCTTCATTTTAGAAACATCTTACCCCATGAAACTAAAAAAAGATAATAGAAGTATGGTTTAGACGTCTCAGCTGAAATAATTCCTGTAACAGTTTCCGCGAACTCAAATTGACGTAAACTACGAGTTATAATTAACTTGACTTTCATCACCCTTCATAAAGATTTGCTATTCTAAGTATTTCAGTTTTAATTTTTGAAATATAAACTTTCATGTACTAAGTCAAAACACATTTCAATTAAACATCACTTTCAATTTGTCTTGATAGAATTTCAAGGAAACTTTTCATTGTTGAGAGTTTCCGCCTAACCAAGAATAATCAAAGTGGAAGTACTGAATTTAAAGTAATTTTATTTTTGTCAATTCTTGTTATTCATGTAGGAAGCGAGTAAGGATTGTGAAGCCGCATCTTCTGAAAAGAAAGGCGAGGGTTGTTCTTATGTTAAGTAGCTCAGTGAAGCTGTAAAAGCTGAATATAATGAAAGTCAAGGGACCTAAATTCAACATTAAAAAAGAGATTAATTGTTTAACCGATTGAGCAAAACATTAACTCACTTTGTTGATAAGTCTTGGTTGTTGTTGATGATACAAATCCAGACCCTTAAAGATGGATAATCACTGTTTAGGAGATGATGAATGAATATCTAAATATCCCTTAAAATTAAACGTACAAAATACCATATGAAAGAGGAAAGATATCGATCATTGTTCTAGCAAAACGCCGAGCTAACAGAATGGTATTTCGAAAAGGAAAAACATCAGTCCATAATCCASCAAAACGATCTAACARAATGCTATATGGAAGAGGAATGTATCGGTCCATAACCCAGCAAAACGATCTAAGAGAAAGCYAAGTTCAAAACGAAAAACATCGGTCAATTCCCTGGAAAAACGAGCTAACAGAATGCTATTTTCAAAAGGAAAGACATCAGTCAATGTTCTAGCAAAACGATCAAAAGATAAAGTCATGTTCTGAATACGATGCTTAAATCGTCCAGAAAGATTATGCTATTGTTTACTTATGATAAAGGTAAAGATTTGTACACTGTACTTTACTTTATCTTCCTGTCCAAGTATCTCACACTCTTCGAGATTTAGAAGTGCTTTGTACAAGATTTTGATCACAAAACATAGACAAAACCAAGACTAAAAAGAAAGGGTTTGAGATCAGTGACTTCGCTGACAGTATCTTAATATCACTGCATTCTAATAAGACTAATTAAGCACAAACTCAAACTGAGGGTTAACAAATTGCGATTAACTTCGAACTTGTCCGCCTATTAACCAAGAGAGATAGCTAGTCTTGCTAATCATACGGTGAAGAAACGGTCATGAGAAGCCTCACTTTYCTTCTGTATTAACTGCAGGCAGACATAAACGATGCATCTAAAAGACTCTGGTTAAGAACTACTAGGTACTCTAGACACTAAAGCATCGCATACACCACTCACTATCTAACTAAACCATAGTCTACTAACTATGACTAAACGGCATATTGAAACGTTTCAAAGATCAGTATGACTACTTCTGCACCGCTAACCAGCGCACGTGCACTGTATCAGTATAAAACAGTTAAAAAATTTAACGTACAACCTTCTTTTCCTCAAAGGCGCAGCTGTTTTTCTACAAATTTATGTAACATTTGAGAAAAGTCTTATAGAATAAGTTAAAAACATAAAAAATACCTTCGTTTCCWATCGAGGAACTGAACGSGCCMGAGAAGAATCGGTCCAAGTGTGCCATAGTCCGTTATTTTTATGATGTTTGCTGCTAAAGTTGACTTAACTCTGGCCAAAAGATTCACGATTTTCGTTTTACACGGGAACATAGTGTCAAAGTTTCTTTTTAGCTGATCTGTACACTTTTTTCACGTGGCTCCAAAACCAGTTTCTAGTTTCGCTTCCGAGAATTTCAAGTCAAGTGATAATAGTTTGATCTGTCCATCAAAAAAAATTTCTCTTTGAGGTATTGGGCTGCCTGTGGAAGCTTGGGCACGTGAAAAATGTCACCATCACACAAAARTAAATGGCACACGTCAAAGGACTCCAAAAAACAGTCTTATTATCTAGAAATTCAGGAGCATGAAGTGGTGTTTTTATACCACAGAATTTTCAGCAATTTCTACATAAGTCAAGCACGTCTTTGAAAGGTTTTCACATGGTGGTCATGTGGTTAGTGGTATGATTAGAGGAAATTATCGACCTTTAGTTACCTAGATTTAAATACGACATCCGAAGTATGTAATATAAATAGAAATTAGTCATGTAAAGCGAAAAGAAAAAAAAAAACACTGGACTTTGCTGAGCATCTGACATTGGCCGAGTTTAGAGTCCAACTTAAAGGTGTTCTACTTCCAGAGAAGGTCAAACTGGCTCCACAGCAACAAAATTAAGAAAATATCAATGAAAAAGCAAAGCCCTACGAGCARCAAATATAAAAGTGGGAATATTTTTATTCTGACACTTATAGCTGTGAGCTTTCAYGGGTCACAAGCGTAGTCAACAGGTGTCAGTCACATGAACAATCTCGTTTGCTAATTGTGTTGATATCCTATATGTTTCCTCGGGCTATTTTTCGTTGATTTGTCTCTGACTACGAAACATCAGGCCTATGTTTACGATAAAATGACGTCACTATCAGCAGGCCAGCACAGTGAGAAGCCATCTTACAAAATAATAAAAAAAAAACACTCGAAATTTGAAAATATCCAGTAAATTAAGCTATTGTGCTTGATTTAGGCTTGGGTCACGGTATAATCCACCCAGACAACTGGACACATGTAGAATTCGTCGTCCTAGCTGAGTCCACTGACGTACAATAATATAATAATAATAAAATATAACATATAAAGCTTTTATAGCACTTAAATTGAATAAATTGAAGAAAAAGGCACACAACTTGCAACTAGTATTTCTACTCTTTTATAGCACTTATATAGCTTTCCCTAAGCGCTTTAAAAAGTAAAATAATYAAAATAAAAACTKATAAAATAGAGATTTACAATGAAAATATAGTTAGTCAGAGATCATATCAAACAAAGGATAACATTTTCAACATCAAGGACCAGTTCTAACTAATAAAGTAGCCAGAGAAGTAAGGTGGGAGAATAAGCAAACGGACAAGTGATAAAAGAAGCGATGAAAGACAAATAATAATTAAAAACCTTCAGTTTTACTATAACTATATCTCTGTTTGTGCCTGAGGTCGGCTTACGCTATGACGTAAGCAGAAACAGAAGCCGAGAACATAAGAAAAACTCAGTATGAAAGAACTCAAACGTACAGAGACATAAGCATAACCATTAACATAAAGACATAAGGATATTTAAATCCCTAAATCTATTATTTTAAAAGCTTAAGCTTATGTCCCAGGCCACAATCAGCTCATTCAGTTAATTAGTTAATTTTTAACTGCAAGATTTTGTCATGAAACTCTGCCTTTCCATTTAGTTAGGTCCAACAGTTAAATAACAGCTCAATAACACCTCAGTACTTTTTTTTCTCTCTTTAAGGAGCAAATGGTAGCTAGGATTAGACTGCTTTATTTGATCTAAAAAATATGAAAYTAAATTATTGTAAACTATTTGTGAAATTAAACTAAAATTCATTATTATTATTTTTTTGTATTCCCTAAACTACTGACCTTCTTAAGATGAATCAGTTTCCAATAAAAATATTACCAGGAAGTTCTCAGTGTATAAAAATTATAGTCAGTGCAACTGCTTAGCTTTTAGTGACGGCATTATAGTGAATTGCTTACCGCAACATTCAGTTATTCGATCAATGTCTGGTAAATTACGCGCGGAAGGATTGGTCGAGAGYTGTGTGCTATTTAAAGTACGTAGAAACGCATGGATGACGCAATTCAGTCTTACATGCGCTCTGATTGGTCAAAACCAGTGCGCGGTGTCTGTTGTCTTTTTGTTGAACCGTTTCAACGAATTTGCGAACGCTAGTTATTAGGAGAAGTCATTATGAAACAAATWGATTCCATTTTCCATGTGACTCTGCGCGTCTGTATCTAATGGATACACTGTAGACGTAGAAATATGATGAGAATAATCACGCCACCCGATTTGGGCTTGCTTCTTTTGAGCTCTCCACTTCCCATCGTGTTTATATCACCGAACAAATGCACGCGTAACCGTTGTATGTTTCTTAATCAAACGGTGCGCGCTTTGAACAACAAGACA